GGCAGCAGGGGAGAACTGGCCAGGACTGGGCAGTACCATTGTGCTGAAATGATGCTCGGGTAGATTAAGATACCATATAGGTTGACTTGTTATATTAAAAAAGAATAGAAATAGAGAGAAAATAGGTTACATTCAATTCACTTTAAAATGGAGCAAAACATTACTTGTCCATTGGAAAAGAACAGCAGCTCTTGGTGTGCAGGATAGTAATCAAAGACAAAAGAATGTAAATCATAAATAATACTACATAGGCAATATCCTTTAAGACAAGAACAAGAAAAAAGTGCTTAGTAAAACCTATGGACCTGTTCTTTATTATTCTGAGTGATCTACTCTTGTTAGAAGTGCAGGTAACCAAGAAATATTTATCTGCAACTTACAGAATTTCTAGGCTGCTGTTTTAGTTATATTATATTCATTTATTTCTTGATTGACTTACACAAGAGTCCTAATCTTTACTTAGGTTACTGAAATAAAATTACCTAAATCAATTGTAGTATATTATGTTGCAAGGGTGTTTTATTGGACTGCATCAGTGGAATGGTTCCTTTGAATTGATTCAGCAAAACATTGTGTGGGACCCCAGAGGTATGACCTGAAACTCTTAAAATTCATTCAAATTTAGAAGGGAAAAAGTTTTCAGAGTTTTATTTCACAATGACTAGATACATTACCGGTTTGCTTCTCCAGACAGGGTAAGTTCACTATTTTGTCTTTATATTAGAACACAATTCCATTGTTAAAAAGGTCAAAGTTTATTTTCTGCTATACATCCTAAATATGTAATCTTAAATTGATTCTTCACTAAGGTTATGTCTACACTACCAAGTTATTTCAAAATAATAATTCCTGAAATAACTATTTTTGAAATAAGCTTATCCCTCTTCACAAACAAGAGTTATTTCAAAATAACAAGCCCATTATTTCAAAATAATGGGATTGGTAGTATGAATGCTCACCTTGTTGTTTTGAAATGAATGGTGTTATTTCAAAATAACTCCCCATCATAGACATGCCCTCAGCTATTTATTTTACACCTCTAGAAAAAGGGCATTTCTATCTTAATTAAAACCTTAGTCTATATAGTAATAGAGCACACCCTAGTTCACTTTGGCAGTTTAATTGAGTCTTCCAGTTACCCTAAATCTTACCCATACGATGATAAATTTTCTCACATACTGCATTATTAATTATAGGCTATTACCCAACCATTGGTCATTTGCCCACGTTTTCAGTTCATGAAAGCTTCAAGTTCAAGACCCTGACCAATTCTGAGTAAATTAGAGTGGCTTTCTAAAAACTTGCCAATTTGGACTTACATAAATAGTGACCTCCATGCCTGAATTTGTGCCTAACTATTTCCTTGTACTGTGCATTTTCTATAGCAAACTACAGATTTAGGGTAAATAGATTGTCAGCTTTACTCAGCGTAGCACCTCACTCCATTTTTAAATCCGTGTGACTGCTTAAAGAATCAAGGTATGATTACAATGGGAAGATCATACCAGCACAGACATGTCTCTATAGCTCTAGAAGTATGACCTCATAGTGTAGACAACCTACACTGATT